CTAGTGGTGTAGATCAATGGCGGGCCGAAGTTGGACGTGTATAACATTCGGCAACAAACTGCTTGGGAGTCTAAGGCTGAAGTCCGTCGAAGACAGTGAATCTCTTAAGAGTCAATAGAATTAATGGAACAAAAGCGACAAAGCCCCGCCTGCGAGGAACAGCACAAGAACAGGTATAGTTTGCAACCTCAACTCCGGAAAAGTTGTAAGAAAGATCGCAACTTGAAGAAGGATGTAGTAAATCGCTGGAGAAAGGATCTGATGGTTTCCTCAATTCCTTTGAGTTATTTTCTTGTGAACTCTAACTGGATTACTAGAAAGTACCTGGTCAAAAGAGCGGTCAATCCGGAAGGAGAGTAACACCAAAAGGTGTTTGTTCATCATCTCGATCCATGCGTCCTGAGGCACAAAAAGACGACTTGTACGACAAACTCGCCGAACTCATTCGGTTGAGCCGAAGATCCGATACAGTTGTGCCCGCAGGTGATTCTAACGCGGTTGGAAAAATTAACGCGTCACAAGCTTGCCTAGGCGGTCTTCATGCTCTGCGCAGCCAGCTGTTTCTATCAAGCACCAACTTCCGATACAATTCTGAACGAACAGTAACCTGGCGCTCCGCTTCGACTGGTACGCCAAATCAAATCGACCACAGCAATAAGCTACCGTTGGACGACCTACGTTGACCCCCATCATGGATCATCATCATCATCGTAGAGCGAGATACAGTGAAACGAACTTCACTGATCGCTGTCAAGATTTGATGGAATTCATTCTCCAACTCAATGGTCGCAGAAAGCCATTCAAATCGGTTGGCAGATCTGCTCTTATTTGACCTAGCTGCTCATATCCGTTTTGAATCAGAACTAAGGCAAGAGCTAAACGTGCTGCATCCTGGTAGCGTAGCTGAATAGTTGGATCAGCTTAAACAATTAATGCACTCTACAGCGAGGGTTGCTTGTGAATCTGAGCTGCCAGCTGGTCCGAGGCATTGGACATCTGATGAGTCATTAGCATCGACGGAGAAAAAGCAGCCAATCCTCACCGCCCAGAATCAAAGCAGGGGTAGGTGGCGTTTTCAGCGTCACCTCACGAAGAGCTTCAAAGACATCTACCTATTTTACACGTGTGATGCCAGACAGTGAGCCAAACAAATCATGATACAATAATCTTTATGAAAAAGAAAAACGTTCCATGAGTTGCATGTGGGCGGAATACGGCCAGGTTGCCCAGGCCAAGGCAGGGGAATTTTCCTGAGGAATCCACAACCGGAGCCTTCAGCTAGCCAAAACTTGA